ATTTCAGACACATGAGGAGTCAAGAGCAGATGGAAGAATTTTCCATCTCCCTCTCTTCTGTAACTCTGACTTTCAAACAAACATTAATCTTTTTCTTAAAAAAAAAAAATCAGAATTTCACAAAACCGTTAGATGTTTCAAAAGTGTTTTTTAAAGCTGAATGTATGTAGGCATACAAACTAACTGTAAAACAATGCACTAGGAACACTAGGAAGAGACATGAGGCTGTGGTTTCAGGAAGAATGAACATCATACTTTCAATATGATTTTTATGACTGCACCAAGGTGGACATTGGTGGTTAACACTTTAATGAATACAAGAATGGTGCTACAGGTTTGTATTTTAGAGTCTCATTCAGTAGTTAAGAAAATAACAATTATTTGAACTTAATACCACTCTTGGTTGGATAGCAAATGCAAAACTTAAATTAACCCTAAGATTTCAGGACTGAGTAGTAAAAAATTAAAATATTATTCATCCCATTAACAATAGCAGCAGCCATAATAGCGACCAAAATTTACTGTGGATACTGCTTGTACGAGTGTGACATTTTCCCATTTATTTAATCCTCTAAATAATCGTAGCAAGCTACAATCACCCCCAATTTAAAATGGGGAGACAGTATCAGAATCAGGCAACACCCAATACCAGAGGTTAATTAGTAACATAAGTAAGAAGTGAATCTAGGACTTTGCAATTCCCAAGTCAAGATTTTGAATTATGTTTTCCTGATAAACTATACTAAGAACAGTTTTGTAACCTGACATGGAAGAAATAGGTGATGATAATGCAGACATTTGCACATACCATAAAACAAATAGGATTACTGGATTTCTTCATAAATGAATGGATTTTTCTCATAAGGAAATGTTTAAGAAGAAAAGCTAGATTTGAATCACTTTAAGACATACCTACCAACATATTCTCTTCAGCTGCCTTCTAAGGCCTAAAATTTACATATAATTTGAAGCAACAAGCAAATGTGAAACATGGTTCTATGTGGCCAAATAAGGTAGGCCAGTTGACTATTACAGATTGTGAGTCCATGCAGTTATAACTCTAATGGAAGAAAAGTGTATGCAATACGAACATACTGTGTTGTATACTGTGTTAAGAGTATACAGGGCCCAGTATGTGGGACAAAGGGAACAGATCAAGCCAGATCTCCTGCCTGGAAAGTCTTCCTTATTTTCTTCCTGGAAAGTCTTCCTTATCTTTCAAAATTTGGTTGAATCCTCATCTTGTCAACACCAGCTTTCCTACCAGCCCTGCACACCACTGTCAATGGCTCCTTGTGTCCACTCCTTAGCTCCTTGGAAACTGAAAATTAGAAATGTTACACCGGGAAGTTCTCCACTTAATTGCTGCCTATGGAGTCAGGTGTTTTGATCTAGCAGTTAAGACGGCCAAGTTCCAAACAAGAGTGCTTGCATCTACTCCTGACTCCAGCTTCTACACTCAGCTTCCTGCCAATGCAAACCCGGGAAGTCAGCAGTGACAGGCTCATGATTGGGTTCAGCCACCCTCACAGAAGATTTAGATTGTGTTTACAATACCTCACTTCAGCCCTGGCCACTGTGGACATTTGGAAAGTAAGCCAACAGTTGGAGGACACAAACATACTCACCCATGGGCTCATGCTCTCTCTCTCCTGCTTCACTAGCTAATATATCAAAAATTAAATAATATACCTAATACAGAAAGCCATTTAAGTCAACTGGAAGCCATGACACTCCACTTTTCCCTTCTGCTGATCTTTCAAATTCAGCATTTACAATCTGATGTTCTCTCTCCATGGCTACTTCTGTAGTGCTTTCCAACTTCCACACAAAAGCTCTTTCCCTGTGACAGCATAGCCAGCCACAGGACTGCACTTCTCTTTGCTGTCATCTAGCCACAAGTCTTCATTTAGGAAACCTCAAATCAAATACCATAGCTCAGTTCAGATCTCAAATCAGTGCATCCTCCTTGATGCCAAATGCTTTCAGGTTTGCATGGCCACTTACGACGGTAACTTGCCATCTGCACAGCTCTTCTGTTGTTCTCATCCCCTGTGGCTGCACTGCCTTCTCCACACAGCATGATCACATTCTACACTCACAACTCTTTTCTTCCTAGCATCCTCCCTTTCCTTCTAAATCTTTCTTCGAATCACACAAAGTTGGATGGTGCTTGCTGCCTTCCACAAACCCGTTTCAACAAACCACAGAAATGACACAATCAAGGAGCCTGTTGTACTATTAAGCCAACCACCAGAAAGTTGTATCGTTTTCTTAGAACCTTACAGATTCCCAGTTAGCACTCTCATCTCCACACAGCTTGCCGTATCACTATTTCATTAATCTCAGCTGAGCATCTTTGTCCCAATTTCCTATAAAAGAGGGTCCCAGAATATTACCTAAATTGAAGTGATTTTTTAAAAGAAATAGAATAGCATGTACTAAAATGGCAGAAGTGAAAAAACGATCCATTAGGGACCTTGTACAGGGAAGCAGTATCAGAAGGGAGTAGGTTGGTAACACTTTCCCCTCCTTAGGAAGTTTGCTAAATCTGATATTTTACATAGTATTATTTTAATACAATCAAGTTTTTAATATTAAATCATTTTGTGAAAGCAATAAAAAGTAAAACCTAATCTATTACAATTTTAACAATTTTTTTCCTCTTAAAATCAAGAGTACAACTGCTAAGTACAGAAGTACTTATGGAGTGTACATTGGCATTTATCAGACTTAAAACCTCCCGCCTCCGAGCAGCAGTCTATCTCACTATTAACTTTTTCCAAAACAGCATTCTCCATACAGTTTACGCTTTGTTCAGTACTCGTCAACTCAAATTCAAGGAAGATGGCTTATCACATGTATTTTTCATTGTATATTCAACACATACACATAAAGGCAATTTCTTGCCTTTTGTCTTGGTCTTGGGAATCTCCGGATGTACTTTCAATCCCACAATGCTAGGTGAAATGTGTTTTTAGAGGATAAAATTAATTTTTCTTTTTCTAAAAGTTTAATGAGGAGGTTAATTTCCGTTTCAGTAGGTTTCAATTATCTTCCTATTAAAAGGTTCTAAAATGAATATTCCAACTTCATCTTCACCTAGAAATTATACATGACAGAGTAATTATAAACCTGAAAATGAACGTCAGCTGCAATACCTTAGTTTTACATTTTTTATTTTAGTTATACATTTTGGATCTGATAAATATCAAACTAACAGTGTTAAATTTGGAGACACAATCTCTTATGACCATGCCCTCCATTAGTCCAGTCTCTATTTAATTTTTCATAACAAAATCATTCCAGTGTACAGGTAAACACTATCCAAAAAGATTTTTTGGAGGATTAACATTGGTATCAATGGCATGTTTAAAGGTCATTGGCCCAACACTAAGAAGTATGAAATCTTATGGAAAATCAATTTTTTCCAAGCATTCAACGAACAGTACTAGGCAGTACTGGGGGTTGCTATTAGGGACGATTCCTGTTTACAACCTGTAATAAACTTCAAAATCAAACAGAGTTGAATACTAACAACAAATGTTCTACAAACAGCAGCAACCAAGCTCAAATCTGTGACTAAACTAGTACTAACCATGAAACCCTAAGCCAACTTCAAAGTAAGGAAAAGAACAATCACTGAGCCTCATTCTTATTCCTGATTCTATTTCCATTTCAGAAGCTATGGAAGAAACGGGAAGAACTGTGCAGGTAGCTACAAAGCAGAAAAGGCTAATGGAACTCCTGGAGAATGCGAAAGGGCTACCAATAAATCTGCTTCGGGTCACAGAGCGAACAGTACTGCCAAAGCACTAGGTTCTTGAAACCTTATATACGCTATTTTCAGAAGCCATAATTAAAAAACAATAATGCTGACGATACTTAGTGGCCTAGTGTGCTGTGAGCAGGAGGAAGGGCACTGAGTTCTCTCTCCTAGTTAATGATGTCTCATAATTCATGAAAGAGACAACATGATGGCAACACGCAGAAACTGGCAACAACTTGTCCTGCTTGCAGTAAGCAACAAAGAGTGACGTATGAAGCATGTAAGCACTCAGAAACCTCCTTCAGTACTGAGCCTCCATCCACATGTCAGAAAGCTGAAGTACTGGCTCAGTGTATTCACAAGAAATCCTCCACACCCCGCTCCTATCTTGGTTTCACATTTCCAAGTCCTTCTTTGGTTGGTTGGTGGCATTTTTTGTAGGGGAGTGATGATGTTACACATACTACTTGCCTAAGTGGGCAATAAAAAGGAACAGAACCAAGGAACATGGCTGACAATTGACTTGAATATATTAAACTAAGCCTTTGCCTTCAAACCACGCATGGTTTCTTCCCATTTATTTCCCTTTACCAAGGTTAAAGCTCATTGTTTCTACTGTAACCAAACCAACCTCCAAATTCATTTATGCCAAAATGGGACCCCATTCCAGCTTATGAATCTTACAACTAGTAAATGGATAATTACTTCAGAACTATTACTAAACATATTTTTAAACAGTGAAGACCATTTAATTTTAGATTTAAATCCAAAGCACAGCAATATAAGAACTCATTATCTAAAAGCAAAATGACTGTAACAAACAGTCACTGATATGTTTTAAATGCAACTAAAATAAAACATGTATAAACTGGGGAAAATTCTGGTCTTTAAGCAAAAGTTAAGTATAAAAGTGCCTCTAAATGTACTTTAGGTATATAAAAAGAGAAGTATTTTCATGATTAGTATTTTTTTTCAATAGCTAATAACGAAGGTGAAAAGAAACAGGCTTCCATTATATAAAGCTCAATTTTCTATGTTGGCAAAGGTGTAACTGAATACCCACCCCTAAAGGAAAGCATAACATTGGAAAGAACAAGATGGCTGCAGGTTCAAGTAAGTGTCTCCTTTATGCTCTGTAACTGATAACTGAGACTTATTCAGGCTTTACATTAATGAGGATTGCTGTAGTTCCTGTGTGAATGGTCATGATGGTGTGCCACATGTGACTTGCCTGAATGAGAAATGAAAGGAACAGAACCAAAAGGATCTTCTGGAAGATGGTTATGTGGAGCAGACAGTGGGTCTACAGTCTTATCTGAATATGCTCTCCCCTCGAGCCTGTCTGCAAAAATAAGACGAAACAAAACAAAAGTAAAACAAAACAAAAATGGTCTTGAAATCAAAAGGATATAAAAGTGGAAATTAAATAAAGCCAACAGTCTTTTTGAAAAATACTAGTTGCAAATTCTCATTACCACAAGCCCAAGGGTAATTCAAAAAGTTTGTGGAAAATGGAATTCAAAGACAAAAATATTTGAAATCAATGCAGAATATTGTCATAAAATCATTTTCCCATAAACTTTTCAAAGAACTCCTCACACATACAGTTTTATTTTTCTGTACTAAAATAAATGTATCTTTTTATTCTAAGAATATTTTTAAGACTCTTTATATTAGTGAGCAGTCCTGAATTAAACACACATTTATTGTTATAAAGTTTAACCATACAATCAGGGCTAGGTTTCACCAAATGAAACAGATCTAATAAAGAACATTGTCTTTAAATTGTCTAGTAAATTAAATACTAACAATCTTCAACCTGTAACATTGTGAACCTAAAATCAAATCCCGTTTACTAAATAAACACAGACTTTGCAGACTCATTCCAAAAATATATACTAAAAAGACATAGCAAATGGTTATCAACACATAAAACAGGCACTCCTTATTTCTCAATAGCAATAAAAAAGTAATCTATTATGTTTTACTTTACTGTTCCTTTCTTATTTTCTATTATCAAAGCATTCGCAGAGACAAAGAAAGACAAGGTTCATCATGTATCCCACCAATTTGAACGTCTACTATATACTAGGCACTGTTCTACTGAACTGCCAAGTGACATTAAACAAAACAAAGTTACTTGACATCATGCAGTTTATATGGCGAATGGGAAAACAGACAATAGAAATAAGTGTAATAAAAAAATGTAGAAAAATATGTTAACTAATTAATCTATAGAGAAAAGGTAATACAGAGTAAAAGAAATGAAGGCAAAGAACAAGTTGCAGCAATAGTGATTCTGACAGTTACTAGGTGAGAAAAGATTTGAGCAAAGTCAAGGATTGGATACCCGAAGAAGAACTCCCAGGAAGGGCTGATGTATACCAATGTCCAAGTAATGATCAACTCCTTCCTTGCCAACTCTCTCCAAAGTTACAACTTCCTGAGTTTTGCAGAATGGTCTAGCCTCTGCTTCTCAGCAAACAGAATTACACTACTCAGAGTTCACTTGGCTTTCTCTCCAGGTATTTCAGGCATTCCCCAGACCAGACCTTTGGTCCACAGCTGTTCAAAGAAATCTGATTGCTGTTTCAGATCATCATATTTAATGGATAACTTCTGCTAGCTTCAACTGAGTTCTAAGAAGGGATGTAAAGATGGTGAGGCATATTCCAAAGAGAACTGGGATTTTCTTAAAAAAAAAAAAAAGTTAACTCCAAAGTGAAGCAAAAGCTCACCTCAAAGCAGTGCATCCTATGACAATGTTTCTCAAACACCCAAACACTAACTGGCTAACCGTGGGATTCTGCACCTCAATAAGACCTCACATGATCCTGATACTGTTATGCTACAATGCACACTTTCCAAAGGTGAGGTACTTAGTCTATAACACCTGAGGACATTTAATTTCTCCTATGGGCAACTCATTTTTTAAAACCTATATAACAGCTTTTATGCTAACAAAAACTCTGCAACAGCAACATGAACTTTTAGGTTGCTTAAATTTTTACTTATAATGTGGTTGAAATACTAGAAAAGAGTTAACAAACACATCTGACAACAGATTAATGAACAAAAATAACCTGCTAAAATTAAGTGCTACTTTTAAAATCCAATAGCAAAATGTCCAACAACAAAAATTTATTTTAGGTGTTATATTTAAAGATACTATTAATTCAGTAAATCAGCAGCAAATACAATATATATCATCAGATTTTTCTTGTATGTCAATGTCAAAAAAAAAAAAACTGAAGTAAAGATAAGCTTGTCTCCTAGTAATTTTCTGAAAAAGGTTGGGAAATATTTTAACAACCAAGAGTCCCTAACTATTATTACTGTGGTAGACAGCTATAATCAAAATTTAAGGAGGGCTTGCCTAAGGTTCACTGAGTCATGGAGATTTATCTGTGGTCATCCAGTCTGTCAGGTTCTGCATGCATTTACACAGAACCTAGGAAGACAGGAACTACAACCTGTTGTCAGAGTCTTCCTAGACTCCCCCATTCTTCTCCAACTCCCAGACTTCTGGTGTAAACACACTGAGGACAGAGAAAAAGGACAGCAGGGAATAACAAAGGAGAAAAGCTGATGCAGGATATCCAGAGTACATCCAAGGGCCTCATCCTTTAATGATGCTTCTCCAGGAACTCTGTTAGGTACTGTTAAATGTAGGTACTTACTTAGGTCTGAATTTACTTCCTTCCTCAACCATGTTCATCATGATTGCCAGGATTCCACTGTAAGATCAGTTGTCTGGGTCTAACCACAAACTTAATGAATCAAAGTAACCAGAAACTCGGGCATCTACAGTTTCACATATTCTCTAAGTTTATAAATCACTGTATCCCAGTGTTTTCCAGGTTACAACACTATCAAGCTACCACTACAGTTCTTTAAATCCTTGTGCAATGGAATTGTATTTCCATCAATCTACTACAAACTCATGATAAAAGTAAAATAGTCCTGTTTAGTTATGACATGAATACAAACATTATCATATAGGGGTAAACTAATTTTTACATGCAGATCCCTGTAAGAAAAATACGAATCAAGAGTTCACTTATCTATTTATCATAAGATAGAATATAATAATAAAAATGAATTCTACTGGCATTGTTCCACAAGAGTAAATTTTTCAATGGAATATATTTCTGAAATCATATAAATTTCTGAGGCTTACAAAACAATCCAGGACCTCAATCACAAAATAAACACAGATACAGATACAAATTTATTGATTCATTAGTTATCTATGAGGAAAAACTAAAGAATGCATTATGTAGAGCTAATTCTCAATCTTAAATCACACCTAGAAAACACTTAAGTATCATTCTCAGATAATTTTGTTTAGAACAAATCTTGGGCCTGATATGTCCAACATTCAACTTACCTCATCTTGCTGTCCCCAAATACCTGAGACTGCCTTTATTCTCGAACACAGGACTTAAAATTGATATGAATGGCAAATACTCAAGAATTTAAAAACTAGGATCACAGTATATGTAATAGTATATAACCAGCTAAAAGTATTCTAAAGCAAGGGTAGGGAATCTTTCTGTTCTGCCAAGAGCCATTTGGATATTTACAACATTATCTGCAGGCATACAGAATTGTCAACTTAAATATCAGCCTGCTGGACCCAGCACGTTAGCCTAGTGGCTTCACACAGGCCAGGATCCCATATGGGCACTAGTCCTAATCCCAGAAGCCCCACTTTGCATCCAGCTCCCTTCTTGTGGTCTGGGAAAACAGTCAAGCATGGCCCAAAGACTACGGACCCTGCACCCACATGGGAGACCTAGAGAAGCTCCTGGCTCCTGGCTTCGGATTGGCTCGGCTCTAGCCATTGCGACCACTGGGCAATTGAATCAATGGATGGAAGATCTTCCTCTCTGTTTCTTCTCCTCTCTGTATATCTGGCTTTCCAATAAAAATAAATCTTTTTTAAAAAATCAGCCTGCTGCATTGCTGACTTTACAAGTTTTGCCTGTGACTGCCTTTGCAGGGTTCCCAGACCAGATGATTTCTGGGGTTCAAATGGCCTGCTGAAGATGTCCTGCTTATATGATCGCCTAAACGACCAAAAGATTGATAAGGAAGGTACAGCATGGCAGTTTTCATTTGAGACTTCTGAAACTTCTATCACAAGTGAAGAGTTCCTTTATCTTAAACTGAGTAAAAATCTGACTTCTTTTTAAAATATGAGTTAACGTTACAAGAAAGTATGGATTCAGGTATGTATCTCTGTGGTGAGGCAAAATAAAATAACCGAAGTTACAAAGCAACGAGTGTATCCTAGCTCTCCTTCCTTTCAGCTACTGTCACGCCTGTCCTAAACAGAAACACAATAAATTCACCATCAACAAGAAAACAACACTGCATTGTCCTAATTAACATTTAGAACTATATAACTATTTGAACAAATGCAAATTTGAAAGAAACTTCCCCATATTAAATGTGTATATCCCAACATATTAAGTTTTATCATTACAAAGTTTACATACTAATCTGGATGTGTTGATACAAGACAATGAAAAATACAAGCTTAAATTTTTAAAAAACACATTGAGACAATATATAATATTAATGCTTCATCTTTTTCAAATAAATGTCTTAAATGCGAACTAGCAAAAAGAATTCTGAACCACAAATATTTCCTAAAATTAAAATACTAATTTAGTTTACTTCATATAAACATACTAAATATGTCCTTTACCTAGTGTATGAAATATACTTTCACCTTAAAGATCTAGGGAAGGGGAGAAGTAAAATGTCTCCAACTCCAGCTTCCTGCTAGTACATGCCTGGGGAGAGCAGGTGACGATGCGATTGGGTCCTGGCCACCAACATGGGAGACCCGGACGGAATTTCTGGCTCCCAGGTTCAGCCTGTTCCAGTCCTAGGCTACTGAGGACATTTAGGAGAGTGAAGGGAGTAAACAAAATCAACTCTCTCTCACACACACTCTTCCCCTTCCTTCCCTTCCCTTTAAATCATTTATTACAGTAAAACCATTATGTGTCATTTTAAAAGTAAAACCTAAAAAACGACAATGTTTAATTCTGTGACAGCTTGCAATCATTATGTTACCAGAAGGAAAAGCCCACATTTTCAAAAGCCACATAAAAGTGTTCAGTTTCTCATGGAAAAGCTTTCATACAACAAATATAAATTACTTAGAAAGGGCTTTAGAAAATTGTTTATTAACCTGTTCCTGTAATTGTTTATTATACCTGTTTCAAGAAAAAGAAGTGCAAATAACCTATTTCGCATTTCTATTACATCTGCATGTTTGCTTAGGAAAAGGGAAGGGGCAGATGCAACCACAATGACCAATGATCAGCCATGCACCAGCATGGGCTCTCCCAAAGTTCCAGAGGAAATCTCTTACTCATCAGCGGAATTTAAACCTATCAAATCATTCTAATAGTAAATGCCTTCTCATGAACAAAAGAAATGCTAAAGATGACAGAATGTCAGCAGTAAGTAAAATGTAGTGAAAGAAGCTTTTTAAGATGTACTTTATACATTATTTGCTTTCTTTATAAACCTTATTAAAGGCAATTCACCTTTTCTGAGGTCCGTTATAAGCATCTCTTTCCTCCCTAGTATTTGTCACTCTTGATGTTGACATGTTTGCTCCCAAATCCTTCCTAATTTGATTGATAAGTTACCAACTAAGAAGCTTGGTAAGAGAATTACATTATCTAATAATAACTTAGACAATTATATCATTTAATGATAATTTAGCTGATGGCCAACACCTCTAAGTTCAGAGCCCACAGACTGCAGGGCAGCTGGGTAAGGAAAGGCAGAACGTGTTGGGATTCTTCACACTTGACTTCATTCTCCTCACAATCCCACGAAGTAGGCACTTTAAAAATGAAGATGTGAGAATTTTTTAAGAAATAAAGAGATACTTTATTTTCCTTTTTCTTTTTAAAATCTTGCTTTTAAGACTATTCAATATAATTTCTGGAAAAAATGTCAAACAAAAAAGTTATGGTTCAAGAAAAATACTTTTAATAAGATAGAAAATTGGTTTTAATGAAGTTAACAAACTTTTATTAATGGCTCAGAACTCATTTTTATACCTAAATTACCAATTTAATTCTTTCATAATCATATAACCAGTATATAAATACAAATTTAAATCCCAAATAACTATTCTTACATTCATTCAGATCATTTAAAAACTTTACACAAAACAGATACCAATTTGAAACAAAGCATTTCAAGTGCAAAATGTTCTCCTGAGACCGATCAACTAAATGAAACAGAAGCTTCGAACCATAAACTGGGGACTAGTAAGACTTTTTCATACGCAAAAAAGGTGAAGATACATACACGCAAACTCTTAAAATCCTGAAAATTATCAACATTCTCCACAAGGGAGCTTTTTATTCCTATTTTGTAACTTACAAAAAGGAACAATTCTAAAACCATATATGGTGAGACCTGACATATTTATATGTGCGCTCTCTCTCTCTCTCTCTCTATATATATATATATATATGTCTGTGCACATACCTTCATAATAAGTAGGTTAAGAAAAGGCAATTATTTTGAGTAAAAACATTGAGATATTGGATTTAAAGTTGGAAAGAATTTATTTAATTTTTGCCATATCAGGAAACAAAGCAGCCCTTTTATGTCACCACTCACTAAAGGGCATCACAATCACGAAGCACGAACAGAATGAAGGAGCCCATGTTTTCGTAGACATTTTCCAAGGGCATCTCAGTCACAGCTTCGAAATTATTAGTAAGGCAAGACACTAACATCTCACTTTTTTATGTGAGCATTAATTTCCCACATTTTGGCAATGCTCTTAATTTAACCTTCATAGATAGAAGCAATATTTTAGTTATCAGCCTACTTTAAGAAATGCTGGATTAAATAGCTACTACCAAGCAAATGGTTTCTAATGCACATAACATCATCTGATACATTTATGAAAGATGATGGCCTGAATTTTGCCCTCATATGCACAAAAAGAATTCTCTATACATCACCTCAAAACAGTCTTTGGCCTTGCAAAATAAGTATATATACTTGTTATGTTACTGTGAAGCAAAATAAGCCTTCAAGTGTCCCTTACTTGATCTCAGAAGGTCAAATTCTCTGTCCAATAGCTCCTCTTCTGTTAACTTGGAAAAATTATCTTCTCCAAAAGGATTCCACCCTGACATATCTGGTGGGTTACTGACATTCTTCTGATTTGTAAAACTGGCGACTGCCTCCTTATCAGCAACTGATCTGTCATAACAGAGAAAAGACAAAAAAAAAAAAAGAACATTAGAATGAAAAGTACAGTGCCTTAGTTCACGTGGTATAAACGCTTAAGCAACTGTATTAGTTTATAATGGGATACACAGCAGGACACACTAGTACCATAATCCATCACAAACACTAGCTGTGAACCCTGGGTAAATTCCTTAACCTCCCTTTGTCTGTTTCCTCACCTGTGAAGAAGGAATGACAATAACTGCCTCACAAATGATTTTCCACATATAAGGCAAAAGAACAATGTGAGATGGAAAGTCAGCATGCAACATAAACAACATATTTTTATCACAGTAAACAAGTCTTAAAGTAAAATCAATTACCCTATCAAATAGCAACATCCCAATATCAACCACCAAATACTGCACAGTGACCAAATACCCTGGTTACCTTCAGAACTCACAATAATCTTCCTTCTGATATATTCTCTGTATATAGCTACCAACAAATTACTTGTATTGTTCTATGAACGAGCCGGTGTTAAATGAGGTAGTTTGTATTATAAGTAGTACATGATGTACAAAGCAGCTATAGTCTGAAGCATAAAACCACTGGATTCTAGGCAAGTTGTCTATTGCTTCTTGGCTTTTAAAGTAAATCTAGAGATTTTTTTTTTTTACCCATCATTCTGCTATTCAAGTTTATCCTGAAATTATAGGTATGGACAATGGCAGAAAGTCCAGCATCCTATTGTCAAGATATACTAAACAGTTTCATTGGGAGCTCATCTTTGACTTGGGAGTAGAGATGCATACTGCGTTGTTTCTTCACTCTCGGTATGACAGTCACTATTACACAGCTCCTCTGGGTGATTATGCGTACATGCATGCTTACATCTACATCTTTTGATCTTGTATTTTGCATGAAAGTTGCCTTATATCAGGGATAAAATATGATATTTGTCCTTCTGTGATTGGCTTATTTCACTGAGCATAATGTTCTCTAGCTGGGACCATTTTGTTGCAAATGGTAGAATTCTATCCTTTTCAAGGGCTGAGTAGTACTCCACAAAGTAAAGATAACTGAATGCCTCTCCCTCAACCCAGCCTATAAATACAACCTAGGAATGAGGCATAATAACATCACTATTAAGTTCCAGAGCCTATCCAACATTGATTGTGAAGGGAGTGTCTCAATTACGCAAGCCTTGACTCATCCATTAAATTCACCTTCTCATTGGCAGTTCACTGTTATTGCCACTATACAGGTTTTAGAAGGGATCAAACGTCCACAGAATTTCTTAGTCCGATACGCCCCAATATACCTGAGCCAAGAATAGGATGTTTAAATATTTACTGAAGTCCAAGAGTCTAAGAAAATTCACATAAAAATTTGCCTACAGGTAGATAGACTTCCTGAGTAAACAGAACTTAAACACCTTATAAGAAATGAAATTCCACTTTTCACATGCTGAGAAGGTTTTAACTGCCAAGAACTAAGCCAGCTCCCTGTGACACAATTCCACCTCTCATTTCAAGACTATCTTTACAGACTTTGAGTTGTCAAACCACAGATTAAAAAGGGCAAACTGAAAGAGTCGGGCATTCATACTCCAATCTGCCACCAACCTCTTGCAGAAACTTCTCATCCCCTATCCAACTCACCCTACTCCCACTCCTGGGATGAATTCACGGATTCTTTTTAAAAAGTTGTATTCTACTGGGCACCATTTAAACAAGAATGAAAATTACGTGTGTGAGTTCTTTGACATTATTCATTTCAAGGGGTGAAATATTTCCACTCCGTATCATTTGCCTACCTAACAATTTTTGCTCTACCCACACAGAATTTATTTCTTTAAGTAAAGCAATATATTTTAAGCAATAAGATCAATAAAACTGTGAAAACACTGGTAGTCAGGGTGAGCACTGTGGTACAGGTTACATAATCACTTGGGGACTTGTATTCTCTACAGGGGTGTTTATCTTGAGTCCTGGCTACTCTTTCTGATCCAACTTCGTGTAAACTCACACCCTCATAGACACCAGTGCTTTGGCCCTTCCTCGCCATCCAGTGGGAGCCCTGGGAAGTCCCTGGGCCCTGGCTGCACCCTGCAGCCCCAACAACTCTGGACGGAGGGGGAAAATGACTCTCACATGCTCATGTATTCGCATACACTCTCTCCCCTCCTCTTTTCTCCCTCTCCCCTCATCACATTTTCCCTCCCTCTCATTTTCATTCTGTTGCTCTGCTCTGCCTTTCAAACAAATAAACTTGAAAATGTATAAGTAATAATCTTAGTAATGATTCTTCTGATGATAAGATGGAAGGATTTCCCACAAAAATGGAATATTCTGCTCAATATTGTTTAGGTTAGCATACCACATACAGGTAAGGCTATCTTATTCATTAAATAGTTTGTTTCAATGCTAACTAGCATTAAAAACATCAAGTAAATCTAGTGTATATAGTTTGAAAGTACAAAATATTTGAAACCATCTCTGGCACAGCACATACACTTAAGTATACCTCATATTTTTAAAGACTATCAATTTCTGAAAGCAAAGTTGTGTTTCTGATAATGAAGTGATGAGTAGGGAATCCCTTATGAGAGAATTCAGGTTAGTGTTCCATAGCAAATGCACTATCTATAGACATTTTTGGAAATTTATTTGAAAGGTAGAGAGAAAGAAAGGTAGAGACAAACAGATTTCCCATCTACTGGATGACTCCCCAAATAACTGCAATGGCAGAAGGTAGGCCAGTTGAAGCCAGATGCTTCTTCAGTCTTCCACATGGGTATAGGGACCTAAGTACTTAGGACATCTCTTGCTGCTTTCTCCTGCTTTCCCAGGTACATTACCAATCTGCTCGATTGGAAGTAGCACGGCTGGGATTGAACCAGTGTCCATATGGGATGTCAGCATCACAGGCAACAGCTTTGTCTGCTACTCCACAGCCCTAGTCCCACAATATCTAGATTTCTAACTTATCATAAAGAAAGTTGGATATTCAAAGATCTGAGGCAAACAAGCATGCACAGTATTGATGCATTCTCATGTGAATTTCTATCTTTCAATATTTAGCGACATTATTCATGAAATTGTAGGACTGTTAAATACCTATTTTCTTCCTAATTTCAGTGACTACTAAATTTTCTTTAATTGGATCATCAATGAATCATCTTTCATGTTCTGCGATGGATAGCTTTAAGACTTGCCTTATTCTACTATGGTGAAGCTATGTTACTGCAGAATAGGGAAGATGAAGCAGGAAAGGGGCGATGGTCTAAAGGACAGAAACATTTACACATAAGATCATGGGATGTCAGCAACTCAGAACTTCCTGCAGGAACTCTGCTCCAGTCTCACTCGGTGCCTCAATAGTACTTCATTATTACTATGATACCTACTTAATATTCTACTCACATTGCATAGAGTAACTTCTGTAACAATTTTAAAAGAGCTCTGTAGACAAATATTAGTGCTTTTGGCTAAATCAGTTGAAGATGAAAACCGGAGTTAAATGTTTGTGTCTAAGTGTATAAGGCATATTTGAGTAGGTGTTAGGAAACCATGGCATTCTTGGAAAGAGGGGTTATCACACTGGCTAGAATAAACATCTCCTTTCCTTTCCCAATTATCCATTAAAATGTCTACTCTTCCAAGTTACTTATCATTAGTGTAAAAACTGAAGAGTAACTCTGTATTTTATTTCAATAATAATCAAAATAACTGTAGTCTCCTGTATGTATAAATGATCTTACCTCTCAGAATTGTCCTCCTGAATACAGAGTGGATGATCAATTATACCAACTCATGAGTTTTAAGCAAAAGGAACGGGTACCTTGTCTGGGAGACCTGGACTGAATTCCTGGCCATTGCAGATATTTGAGGAATAATGCCATAAATTGTGCTCTAATGCACTCTCTTTCTGCTCCATAAATAAAATTATTTTAAAAACAATTATTATCTTACACACTTTCATTAGATCAGAAATCTATCTGTACCTTAGGCAGATAGTTGTGTCTAGTATGACTGGGTGTGCAATACTCTGAAGCTTTGTCTAGTCTTGCCATAAGATCTTTTTTACAGAACGGTTCATTCACAGTGAAAGCCTGTCTCCTTACAAGTATATTTCTAGTTAGTGCAACAGTCTCACAGATACAGTAAACTAAACAATACTGAGCAGACTTATTAATTAGTACAATCTGTTTCTTATCACTGAGGAACTTGTCTTCAGATATGCCTTCTTCAGACTTGGAGATTATTACTTACATTTCATAGTGGCTCTAATTTATTAAAAATCTGTACTACTGTGTGTTCATTTACTATTTATTATAATGCTATTAATTGACTAAGGAAAAAAAATGCTATGTGATCAAATTTAAAACACATGGCTAGAGCAGCCATAAGACAGCAGGCAAATGCTGATCTGGACCTTTAAGTCTGTTCTTGACTTAGACAAACTTTTCATCATTCATATATCCAAGTCCTCCCTCCCCTAAGCTGCTCCACTCCACACCCCCCCCTCATGCACACAAGCACACACACACTCTTGTTTGCAGAAGTTCTGTAGCAAAAAGCACAGTTCAAACCTCTTCTGTGAAGCAGAGTATAACTAGGCTACTGATGTTGCTGCTTCTCATATCCAAATGGTCTCAGCTAAAACCAATATTTCAAATCTTTAGTCTTACATGACAACTTCAGTGTTACAGAACCCAAAGTCTAACAGCTACCACCTTTGCCATATATAAACACCTTGGTGGGTATTCATAGTAACCTAATCACAGCATTCTAAAGCACTTACAACATCACATTTAAGCTTCAGAAAATTGATATCAAACATCGTTAATTATTTGCATAAGAATTATCCATGAAAAAGAATTCATAACTCTGCTATTCAAAAATGTGAATACCAAAGGCTTTCTCAACTATCCTATGGTAACAGTCAGTTTGGAATATCATACAATCTTTAAAAATAACCAAATTTTATGTCTGAAAGTTTTGCAATTGTTTAAGGCAAATTATTCAACCTTTATGACTTAGACAAATCATTTTAAAGTAATACCTGATATGTAGACAAAGTAAAGTTTGTCTACAAAGATTATTTTAGGCCACAAATGAAACTTGTTAGGGTTTCTTTCTCACTTAAATGCAAAGAATTAAAATATATAACCTGGTAATTCATTTAGCCATATATATTACTGGATTTAGTTAAGCTTTATTGAAAAGCAGAGGTTACTAGAACTGATGAGAATGGGGAAAAGAACAGAGATGCAAAGCGACTAGGGAGAGGACAAAGGCAGTTTCAAAGAGAAATGATTCAAATTCACTCAAAAGTTAGTTAATAACTCCATTCAGCACTTGCGTCCACTTCCACGCTGTCATCTTTGCAGTCACTGGAAAAATACTTGCCTATTGGCACTATGAGAGGAGTCCATTGCGGTTCCAACCTGAGCTGGATGTGAGGAAGGGTAGGTCACTAAGGCTGGTGAGAACTCTTGAGGAGAGGTAAGATACTCAGGTGATGCCTGTTGCTGAGCCAGCATCTGCTGCTGCAAGAAAGCCTGCTGATACTGCTGCACCTGAAACAAGACATGACATCAAACGAAACATTGCCAAGCCGCAGAGGAACTGACAGCACCACATCTATCTGCCAAATTACTTCCTTTTCCCATTAATGACAAAATCAGAAACAATTTATATTTAAAATAGCAGCTCTGTTACCACAAGTCTACACTGAGGAAATAAGTGTATTCAAAGAGCTCAGCTTCAAAACTCTTCCTTTAAATATTTTAACAGATGGAGATAAGAGCACACTCACTAATATGGTGGTAGCTATTGAAACACATCTATTCTCTGAAGTAAATTATTTTTCAGTTGGATTTCACTTTTCATTTAAAAAATTTGGCTAAATGAGGGAGACACATAACAAAATTTACAGGCCATCACTCCTTCTACTACAGAGGTATGTGATCAGTCACAAAAGGCCATATTCAGGTACTACCATTCAGCACAATTTAAGGCTCTTCGTGAAATACTGCCTTTGGTAAAATACTTGCCTATTACGTAATGTGAACCAAATTAAAATGAACAGATGGGAATACTGAAGTATGAATTCCACTATTATAATGTACACACAAAGAAACATCTCACACTTACCATTGCAGGATACTGTGATGCTGAAGACTGTGGCTGATAGACTGAATGCATCAAAAACTGTTGTTGAAGCATCTGCTGCTGCTGCACTGCATGTTGATACTACAAGTCAAGAAAAACCAATCCAATCACTATGACTCTAGGACATCATTAGAGTTCATCCTCCAATCTAAAGCAATCTGTGATTATACCTTTATATGTGTGTTAAAAGTATTAAAAAAAAAAAAAACTTAGGAGAGCTATAACTAAAGCCATATTCAGCACACTTCAAGAAGGCATAAGAGAAAGGTAACTCTCTTAGCTGATGCAGATCTCTAAAGTGACTTCTGACCAGAACCAGGTATGGTAACTTCCCACTCTTTTCTAGCTCCCCCTCAATGGCCTCCTTGATCATACCATGGTACCTCTTACAGCCTGCTCTCTGGGTCTATCCACCAAAACTACAGGAGGTGACTGCAGTTCAACTTAAAATAGCTTAAACAAAATTACAAATGGTCTGACAATGCAACAGACAGAAGAGACCTTCAGTTTATTTTATTCCTATACTCCTGACAATTCTAAATATCTTTCTTCACCCATAAAGATTTTTTATAAAAAAAAAAAAATGAACAAAAATCAAGTGCAATATCACTTCTGAGAAGCCTAATGCCACCTTGCTAATAATATCATTATTAGTTTGTGAACTCAAAACACAACCTCAAATACAATACTTGCAATCAACTGCAATGTCCATTCATTTTACAGGCCATGAAGCAGCCTATTTTAACAGTGTACTTGTTAAGCATCTCTCCAAAGGAAGAACAAATTATGCTCCATAATAATTAGCAAACTTGAGAAAATATTTACTACACCCAGAATGTGGGGAGGGAGCCATCTTATGACATTCAATCCCTACATAAACTTCACACCACAATCTCTTCTTGTGAAGCATGACAAAGGCATTACCTGCTGCATGTAGGCGTCCTGAAGTAGCTGATGGTGCTGTTGCTGCTGGTGAGGATGGCGAGGCTGTAAATGGAGCTGCTGTAATCTCCAATCTCCCTGTTGCAGTTGCTGAAGGACTCTGTGCTGCTGAGGCGGCTGCTGAGGCGGCTGCTGAGGCGGGCCCTGGCCTAGCAAAACCTCAGTTCTCGGTGTTCCTACAATTAGTTTCCAAAAATGTCTCTTAACACACCAAACAGTTCAACAAAGTGACTAGACTTCAGATAATTATTTCAACAATCATCAAACTAAGGTGCACATGCACTTAAAGAAATTTTTATGTCATTCTAAATTCTTAGGACACTTATGTCTTCTACAACCCTGGACAAATTAACATTGTAGAAAAACTTCCTGTTTCATGCTCTGTTCTATACTCAGCTATATTATATACACAGCTGTTTGCCAATGTGACATTTCTCAAGCTACAATGCTAGCTCCCACCTACTGAAACTTTATTAGCCTTAAAGTTTAGCTAACAAATGCCATTCATTGAATGGTTTTATTGTTTATACATTTCGTTCTGTATTGTACATGTTTATAATGGCATGGTCATTTCTAAACCAGGTTTCCTTCAGCCTTACTCTTTAGTTACCGCCGTAATGTAACACATGTTTAATAAGTGAATACTGTAATACATCAATTAACATCATTGCCTAAATGGACATTTAGAATCCAATGTTATTTTATCTAATATAAAATTCACTTTTTAAGACATTATTTTACTCTAAGGTCAACTATGTCAGCCAATGGATATTGCAAGGGCTCTGTCATCATTGGATCAGCGAGATCGGTATTTCAGAACTACTGAAACCACTTGGGCAAAACCCTTGGAGCATGCATATCTTGGGTTGATATCGGGTGGCCATTTCCCATCCCCGGGCACTGGGGCGACTGGGAGGCTGGATATGGCTTTGTCCTTTATCCCCTCCCCAGATATAGGAAAAAGAAATAGAAAATTGGGAAACAATGATCACATCCACTTTTCCCTAAGCCTTGATTCTTCCCACCCTGATTAACTATGTTAACATCGTCTAATTTAAAAAAAAAAAAAGACATTATTTTATTTGAAGGGTAGAGATACACAGAGGGTGAGACAGAGTGAGATATGCCATCCACTGGTTCGTTCTCGAGATGCTGCAATGCCTGGGACTAGGAGAGCCAGGAATTTCACCCAGGTTTCCCACATGGGTGGCAGGGAACCAAGCACTTGAGCCATCTTATTAATTGTTTTCTCAGGCACACTACCAGGAGATGGACTGGAAGTGGAGTAGCCAGGGCTAATAGCAATACCCATATGGCATTACAGCACAGTGGCCTGCAGTTTATCATATTACTCACAATGCCAGCACCTAAAATACAATTCTTCTATTATGCACCATGGGGCAGGCATTACAGCACAGCAGTTTAAGTCACTACTTAAGGCACAAGCATTCCACTCTGCACTTTGTGAGTCCCAGCTACGCCACTGCCAATTTCACTTCCTACTGATGTGTCTGGGAAGCAGTAGATGATGGCATAAGTACTTGGTTTTCCTCCACGCATATGGGAGCCCTGAGTGGGATTTCTGGCTCTTGGCTTAACTGTGGCTTAGCCCTGGCAGTTGTAGACATCTGAGGAGTGAATCAGAAGACAGGACCTCTCTTTGTGTGTCCACCACTACCTCCCTTATTTCTGTCACTGTCCCTCCCTCCCTCCCTTCCTTCATTCTCCTTCTTTCTTTTTATGATTTATTTTTATTGGAAAGACAGATAAACAGAGAGAAGGAGAGACAGAGAGGAAGGTCTTCCATCTGATGGTTCACTCCCCAAGCAGCCGCAACAGTTGGAGCTGAGCCAATCCGAAGCCAGGAGCCAGTAGCTCTTCCAGGTCTCCCACATAGGTGCAGGGTCCCAAGGCTTTGGGCCGTCCTCAACTGCTTTCCCGGGCCTCAAGAAGGGAGCAGGATGGGAAGTGTGGCTGCTGAGATTAGAATCGTGGCCCATATGAGATCCCAGCACATTCAAGGCAAGGACTTTAACTACTACACTATCACACCGGGCCCTGTCACTGTCTTTCAGATAACTAACAGATACAAAGAGAGACATGTATTTTCTACAAAGATAGATGGTGGGCATGTATAATATTTGAGCAGGTATTAGGGTCACTAAAAAACTCAACAAAAGTGGTATAACTGATTTTAAAAGGGGGAAAAAAGGGATACACGTAAGAATAAGGAGGGCCAGTGTAGTAGAGCGGGTTAAGGCCATGTCACAGTGCCCACATGAGGACTGGTTTCCACTACGGGTGCTCTGCTTTTTATCCAGCTCTCTGCTAAGAGAAAGTAACAGAAAATGTGCCCAAGTAATTAGACCCTGCCATCCACATGGAAGACCTGGATGGAATTTCGGGCTCCTGGCTGCCAGGTCCCAGCTGGTGGGGCCACTGAGTAAGTGAACCAATGAATGGTAGACGATCTCTCCCTCTCTTCTTTTCCCTCTCTACCTAACTCTAAGTCTACCATTCAAGTAAATCTTTACATTCAAAAAAAAATGTATATGAAAGACCGGGAAGATGCACACTAAACTGCTAGGTGACAGTTAATTCAAAGGAACAGAAGACATTAAAAAGATATGCATATTGGAGGATGGGCATATAATTTTTTCAACTTAAGCTGGTGGCCTGTAATAAAAAGAACAGGACATGATGCCCTGATATTAGGAGAAGGCCTGCCACTCACAGCTAGGTCTGACTGTACTTTTGGTGAACAATTTCATAGAGCACCAATCTCAGATAAGACCATTCTGATTGCCTTGAGTCAATTCTATAAGCATGTTTAAACAGACAGGATTGTAATCAGTGTCCAAACCCCAAAAATGATCTAGCATCTCCATGCCCTGCCTGCCTCACACGCCTGGAGCCTCCAGGCTCCCTCCTGAAGTTAAGATTCAAATACCTGGTCTTGCCATGCCGTTACTCCTATCAGCATCAGGCACAGAGCAAGGCCCAACTTTCGTAAGCCTCCCTCAAATTACTCAAGCCCAAATCCTTTCACAGCCTTTTCAAACATCACTGAACTGAGACAAACCAAAAGACCTTCCACCTCCCCGCAGTCTGGGAATGACAAACATAATATAGTCAACCACCAGTATAGTTCCTGATGGTCTTTGGTTGGGATGCACTGGTACAAGAATATTCTAAGAATCCCCAACCCCCACAAAAATTAGGAAAAAGAGAAACTAATACCAAATATTTACTTAGATATAATACACTCTGAAAGTAGCTATTATTCTCATTACAGACAAAAGAAAATTGAGATTAAGATACTATACAATGAGAAATAAGCACAAATGATTTAAAATTCCATTACATCCTCTTTTCCACAAAATACCTTTCCAACTGGCATCCGACACCCACATGCATAACGCAACAATATGCCAAATAAAATAGACATTATCTTCCCTGATCACATGCTTTAGTAGCCAACAGTTAGCAACTTATAAATGTATATGAACTATCCGGCACTACATTAAGTAAACACTTACCCCTCCCAACAAGCTTATAAGAGAGCGACTGGCAGTTTTATACAACATATCAACAAAAATTGAAAGAAATTTTATCAAGTCAGATTCATGAGTTTCTATGTGGGCTCTTAACAATTCAAGCATCCTAAATGAAAGCATTTTTATATTAAAGAATGAAAGATATATCACAAAATAAAGTTCAAATAAAAATTTTCTTGACGTTGATATTTATATTCCCAGATCCTCAAAGAGACTGAAGTTTCCTAACATTAAAAAATACTACTCTGGATATACCCACTCCCCCAGATACAGGAAGAAGAAAACAAAATGTCTTAAAAAATACATATGGAATCTGTGCTCTATATATTAATAAAAATTTTAAAAGAAAAAGGTACTACTTTGGGAAAATTTAATTACTATACTGTGTGATAATATTCGAGATTATTTTGTTAATCTTAATGTTTTCATCTTAATTAGCTTTTGACAGATTCATTATGAGTTGTAAATAAAAATCAAAGAACACAATGATATGCCATTCCTTCTTCCTTCCTGTTCCCTCTCCCACACTCCTCCCCCTCTCCTTCTTTTGTCTTTTTTTGTTTCTTAAAGATTTATTTATTTTATTTGCAAGGTAGAGTTATAGAAAGAAAGGAACAGAGAGAGATCTTTCATCTGCTCTAGTTTAACAAGAAAATAGACAATAAACTAAACAATAAGTGAATGGGGAAATAATGAGCATTTCACCCATATACAGTAAATTTTAAAGTAACCATAGGTAAAGGATGAAGGCAGCTTGGGCAGGACTAGGCCTCGGCACCCACCAGCAAAAGTTGAGGGTGGGACAGGCTGCAGCATCTGATGGCAAGTGCGGAGTCCCAGGCCGGGCCATAACAGGCTTGACTGGAGCACCAACAGCACAAGCAAGATCCGGGTTGGGAGCCCATCTGGTAGGGGGAATTAGGAGACTCCCCTACTAGGTTGTGGTTTACACTGCTGAACGTATAAGCCAGGCATGAGGGCAGACCAAACTGAATATAGCTGTAATACCAGTCAGCATCCTTGTGGGGTGGGTCCAGGAGTAAATCTGCCTGGGTTAGGTCCCAGCACCTGCCAGAACCAGAGCCAGAGTAGGTATGGGAAAGGCTGGGCTAGCTGGCAGCACCTACCTGCTCACATGAGAGCCAGGTGTGGGGGTGGACAAGGAGGGGCTGGGTATAACCCCCACTGGTGAGAGCTGCAATGGGTATGAGCCAATTTGGGCAAAGCTGTAGAACCTGCTAGTGAACGCCAGAACTGGGAACCAGCCTGGTCAGGCTGGACTGCAGTAACTGCCACAACACATGAGATTTGGGAGCTGGGCATAGTCCCAGTGGGGGAATATGGGGAATCCCAGGTTAGGCCATAAGTTCACGCTGATGAACACAAGAGCCAAGGCCGGGGACAACCTAGGCCAGGCTAGGCTACAGTACCTATCCACATACATGGGGGTTGGGTCTGGTGATGGTCCAGGCTAAACTAGTCTATAGCATCTGCTGGCAGGTATAACAGCCAGGAAATGGAGCAGGCCAGGTGAGGCCAGGCTGGGTCGCAACACCTGCTAGTTTACATGAGTTCCAGGATAGGGGCTGTTTGGCCTGGAATAGGCCATAGCACCTATCAGAATAATCTGGGTTTGGGAGAAGGCTGACAGAGACAGGTTGCTCACTCATTGGCAAATGATAAAGCACAGCAGGCCATGCCAGACTGGGCCGTAGCACTCACCAGCATGCAAAAGAACTAGGGCTAGGGCAGAGCCTGGTAGGGGAACATCAGGGACTTCCCTGCCAGGCCACTGCTTCCACTGAGAAGCATGAGAGCAGGGACTAGGAGTGGATTGGGGGTGGACAGGACTGCAACACTTATCAGCCCATATGTGAGCTAGGTTTGGGGGAAGGGTCCAATATCCACGGGCATATGCAAGAGCGAGAATAAGTTCAGGTCAGCTGGGCTTTGCTGCAACATTAGCTGGCAAGTGCCCAAACTGGGTATAAGTCATTTTAGCGTGGACCACAGTACCCCTGGCAGGTGCAAGATCTGGGACTGCACAAGGACCTAGTAGGGGACCTATGGGCACAAATTTGCTGAGCTGTGGCTCCCCACTGGTGAGCTGGGCAGGACAAGGCAACAGTATTCATCAGCATACTCATGGGCTAGGTCTGGGGGTGAGTTGGGCTTAGCTCAGCTGTAGTACCCAAGGATGTGTACAAGAGCCAGTTGGGATGTGGGGCAGGCTGGACTACACTGCTGTAAATGCTAGTGCCCACACAGGAACCAGGGTTGGAAATTGTTGAGGGTCACCCCAATTAGGCTGCAGTTCCCACTGGTGTGCGTGAAGGTTGGATTCATGCCAGGCTAGGTTCGGCTAGGCCACAGCACCCATCAGTTTGCATGGGAGTTCGGGCTGGGGGCAGAAGTGACCAGAACTGTATTCACCGGTAAGTGTGTGGGTTGCAGCAGGTCATGGACTGAACTAGATCCCACACTAACTGGTGCACACAAGAGTGAGGCAGGTCTGGGGTCACCCTTGGTGAGGTTTCTTGGGGCACTCTCTAACTAGATTGTTGAACTCAAACTCTGCCCATAGGAAAAAAAATCACAGGCTATGTGGCCAGACCTTAGAATTAATGTATTGGGACTGAGCCTTCTCAGTTGCTGATGTTTGCTAGGAGAACCGAATGCTCAAATGCACATGGGGTATATGAAACTCAGCTCAACTAAGCCAGCAGAGGATGTTGAGTGCTTTGGCAGAGGATGAAAAGCAGAACAGGCTGTACAATTCTCCTGGTCAAGCTTTGCAGCAAGTGTCTGAGAGGTTAGAGGCACTAAGGCAGACTTTGTAAACCAATGAACTTTGTTTTCTCAACACTGGTACAACAAAACCAACAACTATCAAGTCAGATCCTCAGAAAATTCTTTCCCAAATCAGGGTTCTAAGATGACATCAAATAACCATCCCCTATCCCAGAGGATGATTAACTTGGCAACAAGGAGTGGCTTTCCCTGACCCCTGCCGATACAGGAGAAAAAGAAAAAAGTTGGCAACATTCGTCCCACCCCCACTTCCTATGTGAACCATCCCTCCCTAATTACTGGTCCACATGGGCACAGATCCTTCTCAACTATGTAAACAACATTAAAAATAATGTAACATAACAAAATTAAAAAGTAACCACAGGTCATTTAAAATTACAGTAGTGGTGGATCTCAGGACGGGGCGTCTCATGCCTGGATCCCGGACAGCCGCCATGTGCATGTGGTGAGCTGTTTGCCGGGCCTGCTGGGTTCCAGGGGCTGCTTCCTTCGGGGTGAGTAGAAGGAGGGGGGAGGCCTCTGGGACTGGGCAGGTCCGGGACCCACCCGCCGCCCTCATTGTGCGGTGAATGGGATTTGGGAGGGGCGCGACCTTGGGCCTGGGTTATTTAAACCTCCAGCAGCCTCCCAGCAGCTGGTGGGTCTCAGGATGGGGCGTCTCATGCCTGGATCCCGGACAGCCACCATGTGCACATGGTGAGCTGTTCCCCCGGTAGCCAGTGCACCATTTGGTGCCAGACTCCAGCTGCTGGCTGCCCGGGTGGGGAGCTCTGGGGATTTGGTTCTTTGAGTTGCTGCTTAATTAGCTCCAGGTTGAACCCATTGTGCTTCCTGGACCTGAAACAGGCAGTAATTCTTCCTTTGCAAAACTTGTAATCACTAATAATGCTGAGCACCAAATACCAGTCCATGCAGAAGCTATGGCTTGGGGCTTGTCCTGCAAAAGTAGCTCCAACACCTGGCCAATGTGTCAACTGGTAATGGAACAGAGTAGATCAGGCACGACTGAGCAAACCTTAGCCCACAAGTAAAACTAGAAACCAGGAGGGAGCAGAGGTCATGCCGAGCTAGGTTGTTGTACCTACTGGTCTGCGGGAGCCAGGGACGCTAAGCCACAGTGTCTAAGGCAGCGTTCGGGACAGGGGAGGGGCTGTGCCAAGCTGAGTCAGAGCATCCATTGGCAGGCAAGTGATCTATGGCTGGGAACAGACCCGGCTGGGGATCAAAGGGGACAACCCTAGCTGGGCTGAGGTTCCCACCAAGAGGCACGTGGCCTGGAAGGGGGGTTGCGTTCTGATCTGGAAACAGTTGTAGTCTCCCTTGGCACAGGTGTGGACTGGGATTGGATGCACCGAACTGGGCCGGACCCTGACTCCCCCTAGTGTTCTGGAGGACCAGGGCAGATGTGGGATGGACTAGACAAGGTCTCAAACCCCTGCTGAGCCATGTGTGAGCCATACGTGGGTATGGACAAACCATGGCTGGGCTGGAACACCCAACAGCAAGAACCAGACTGGGTGGAAGGCCAGTCAGGAAAAGGCACAGTTCCTGCTATGACAGGAGGTGAACTGAGTAGGGTTGGCTCATGGACCCACTGGTAAGCGTGAAACCTGGCATTGGGAGAGGTTCTGATGGAGGAACCCGGGCAACTCCTCGGGCAGGACACACACCCAGCAGGTAAGCGCAAGAAACATGATAGGAAACAGCCCAGAATACGCCATGGAAAGCTACCCACTGGCATACAATTGGCAGACGTGGGGGCAAGACCAGGCTGAATCTGTCCACGTCATCCACTGGCAAATCCAGGCACCAGTGTGGGTTGACCCAGGTTCGGTCGCAACAAAGACTAGTGCACAATATGGAATGCTGAGGTGAGGTTGCCTGTACCGGAAGGGACCGCAGCACCCAACCAGCCTGAGAACAAGAAAGGAAGTGGGCAGAGCTGGCAGGGGAATAAGGGAGGGTTCCTTTGCTCGACAGCTACTTCCGCAGAAGAGCATGGGCTGGGATGGGGGCAGACCAGACTAGGCAGAGCTACCACACCTGTGCGCCTCGTGCGGACTAGATCAGGGAAAAGCCGGGCTGGGCGGATTATTCCTACTGGTGCAAACAAAATTAAAGTGGGCGAGGGTTGTTTGGGCTTAGACGCAGCATCAGCTGGAATCTGGGAGTGGGAGAGGCCTGGGAGGGAAATAGTGGGCTCATCCCTCTTGGGTTACCACTTCCACAGGAGGACATAAAACTAAGATAGCGGCTGGGGTGGAATGGGGTGTGGGACAGACTGGATTACTGCTACACTTACTGGCAAACCAGGGTAGGGGGTGGGCCTGGTGGGGGTTATTGTGGGTCGCTCCAACTAGGCTGCAGCTCCCACTGGTTTATGTGAGGGCCAAGTATGTGCTGGGCAGAACCAGGCTGGACTGCAACACCCATTGGTTCCAGTGGAAGTCGGGAGTGAAAACAGAACCAACCCAGTAATTGCAACCACCAACTGATTGGAGCGATGGATGGTGCCAGGCCCTGTACTTGTTAGCACATACATGAAGTTTCTTTGGAGATCTTCCTAATCTAAATGCTGGACTCAGAACCCTAACGAAGAAAAGAGAGAAGACAGAACAGGTCAACCAACCATCTCAGCTATGATGGACTATGTCAATCAGTGGAGTTTTCAAAGACCTCATAGTGCTTGGAGTGGCAAGATTGACAGCAATTCATAACTGTTGCAATATCAAAACCACTTGAGCAAGAACCTCAGAGCATGCCCTACATCCGGGACCTGGGGAGGGTGGGAAATTGGGTGGGCCTTCTCCCTTCATACCCCCCTTTAAACATGAAGGTAACAATATGGAAAACATACTAGTATTATCCACTTTCCTGTAGCCCTTGAACCTTCTTACCCTAATTAACTATGTAAAGAATGTCAAAATAAAATTTTATTAAATAAATAAATAAATAAATAAATAAAATTACAATAGTACAATATTCTTAACCATTGGTTTGACAAAAGTATAAAAAAGTTTTATAAAACTAGAAAAATAACTTTGTTCAAAATCAAATGAGAAGACAAGTTTTTACGTTGTAAATGACCACATGGTTCAAGACAGACACCTTCACCAAGGCCTGTAAGCACAGGGGCATGTCACCTTGTGACAGTTGCAGTTCAACCTAAACCTTTCCACTGCAACCCAGAATTTTCCATCACCCTGAAACTCTACTAGTTGATGACTCTAAGGATAAAATTTTCATCTATACAATCAAACACAGGAAAAAAAAGTTTACTTATTCCTATTGTACCTTTATTTAACAATAACTTCCCTTTGTCTACAACTTTAAGGAAACAGGTTTACAGGGCATCACAATAAAGCTTTCTGAAAGCATTATATCATAAGTTTGTCAGTAATTTATAGTCACAGAAAGTGAAACTCCAAAAGGCTTATTTATGTTCACTATGAAAAGAAGAGTTTGCAGGCCTCTATTACCTTTTGGTCTGTGGTTACCAAGTTCACTAGGAGCTGGGACTTTAACAGGCGTTGCTGAACTTTGGATGGTCAGCACGCTGGCAGTGGTGCTAGTAGAATTGGCCTTTGGTCTTTGTCTAGGTGCAATTGAGGTTTCTGTTGGTCCAATGGTATCTGTTATTCTACAAGACAAGAATACATCTCATTTTAAATACTGAAGTTATTTCTAGCTTATTATTTTTCCAATATCAACATCTACTAGTATTCCAACTGATCCATTTCAATTATTGTTGACAATTACATTATTCCTCTTGGCTTCCTTTCAAGAGTCATTCTCAATAATTAAATACTTAGGGAAGAAAGACAAGAAAACTGATTATTTTCCTTAAAATGGTACACTGTCATTCACAGCCTGCCACTTGAAGCTGGCAGAAAAAGAGTACTTTCAATGAGATGAAATTGAAAGGAAACAGAAAACTTCTCCTAAGGTTTCAGGAAAGCACTAAGAGCCAAGTCTCTGAACCAGAGAACTAGCAGTAACAAACAACAAGAAATAATCTCCTCTGGCTTACACTCAATAACTAAAAAGCACACACCCCAATAAAAAGAAAAATAAAATATCCTAAGTATTTTAAAACAAAAGAAGTAAGAGGTACTTGCTCAAATTCAACTTTTTGAGTTTTTCAATTTGCTTTACCGTTTAAAAAGCTAATGGAAATTACATGAAATCCTTCCAACAGGGACTTAGTTTAGGCCCTACACATACGTAGTCATGTCACCAATACAGGTGACACTAAATAAATCTGAGCAGATGGACATTTGGTTTTCTTTCTCAGAAAATGAGTTAGAATCTTCAACATACCTATTTATCAACTTTGCTTTCTACAGTCAGTACAAAAACTCAAGTAGTGTTTAGTAGGTTTAAATGATCACTTTCGGACAGAATTTACATAAAATCTCTTTACTGAGTTCTCTCACCACATTTCCAGATGATTTACTGCTTTAACTTTTACACACGCCTGATTTTCCGTTCACATATCTGCTGCATTGGGAGGAAGCTCAAAGCACAAACGCAACGATCTACAGTTCTTTCTTAGCATCTCCAGGGACCACAAGAGGGAGCTCTGCTAACAACTAGCTTTCCAGAAGAAAGGTAAATTAAACTGAATCAGAAAGTTGTAGGAAAATAGTGTATGAATATATGTTCTCTTTTTCTAAAGTGACATCATTAAGGTGGGAAGGGTGATGTGCAAATCATAAAAATCGATCATGCACACACACATACTTGTGTGTAGATATAATCAGTTCCATCTTTTTTGTAATAATAACCAAATTATTTACTGGATTCAAACTACAGATGTATCACTGAACCCAATGCTGTACCCTCTCAGTTTAAGTAATTCAGAAGAAACACTGCTTGCAACCTTTCTGCTTAGTTCTGCATTCTTTAAAGAGTGGCTAGTGCCAGCCACCCCTGGTTCTGACTTGTTTCTTATCTTCTGTAACAGAGTCACCCCAAATGAGAATAGCAGAAGCTCTGAGAAGCATGGAACGGTATCATAACACAATAATAAAAAATAACTTTTAATAAAGTCTATAGAAAGTGCTAATTCGAAAGACTCCAACTTAGTTTCTGATGTACCAATATAATTTGTACTGCATAACACTATGAATTGATATACAGTGAAACACTGTACAGCACTGTTTCTGGAGTTTACAGTATACTTAGGAAGACAGCAGAGGATTATGAAGATGCAGCAAAATACAAGACAAGAGATAACCCTTGGCAGACTAGTTCTTTCAAGATCACCTAGGAATTCTGCCACCTCTCACCTAGCTTAGCTGGGGAAGGCTGCAAGTAGAATTGGAGACTAAAATTCTTAAGTAATTATATCATCAATCATGAGAAAGAAACTGATCATTCTATCTAAAGGAAAAGGAAGAAAATAATTTGACAGAGTAGGGGAAGACACAATACTGACAAAACTTTGAATACACATTATACAAGTGCTTTTACGTGCAAGGATAAATTCTCAGTGGCTTCATCCTCAAGACAAGCCTCAGGGAAGTTGCACAGGTTTAATAATTCCAGGGCAGATACACAGTGTCACGGGGGTGAAGAGCAGATGCTGAGAAGGGACCAAGTGGCACAGACTGAAGCAGGGAAGCAGACAACAGCCACAGGGCTTGTGGAAATATATGAATAATGCAATGCAACTATTTATTTAAAGACCATTTCCCCCAAATTATGCCTTTTACATGAAGAAATGAAAAACAATTTTTGATACTAAGTTTTGTACAGATTTACATGTTTCCATGTTCATTATATTACTAACAGTAATTTTTTTTTAACTGACCAATTAACAAGGAATTTTAGTTAGTTTGTTTCTTCTTAAGATTCACCTTATTTTCATTTACAAGGCAGAGTTACAAAGAGGAGACAGAGACAGACAGAAAATCTTCCATCTACTGGTTCACTCCCCCAATTGCTGCAATGGCCAAAGCTAGCTGATCCAAAGCCAGAAGACAGGAGCTTCTACCAGATCTCCCAGCTGGGTGCAGGGTCCCAAGCACTTTAGCTATCTTCTTTCCAACGCCATCAACAAAGAGTTGGATTGGAAGTGGAGCAGCCAGGACATGAACTGGCACATATATGGCATGCCACTGCCACATGCAGGAGTAAATTAGCCCACTGAGCCACCATGCTGGCTCCTAAACAATCTTACATTTAAATATACAAACATATTTTTGACATACCACAAATAAGCACCATCAAAATTTTTTTATGTGAGACTGTCTAATATCTAAAACAGAGTCCTGTTTACTAACTGGTACAGTTTTTAAGCAAGGGAAAAAGATCAATCATTAGGGTGTCAGGTCTTAGCATACGTAATATATTTTAAACCCAACAATGTAATAAATAAAAGATTTTTTAAATAGTCCTTTTTTTAAGATGCAGTTTTTATTTTTATGTGAAAGAGTTAAGAGAGAGAAGAGGAGAAGGAAGGAGAGAGAGAGAGAAAGAGGAAGAAAAAGAGAGAGATAGTTGATCTTCCATCTGCTGGTTCACTCTTCAAATGGCTACAACGGCTGGCTCTGAGCCACTCCAAAACCAAATGCCAGGAGCTTCTTTCAAGTCTTCCACGTGGATAGAGGCACCCAAGGATTTGCAAAATCCTCAGCTACCTTCCCAGGCCACTAGCAGAGTGCTAGATTCAAAGCGGAGCAGCTGGTACTCAAACCAGTCCCATGTAGAGATGCTGGTATTCAGCCAAGGCTTAGTCTACTACGCCAAAGCATCAGCCCTAAAGAATATTTCTTAACTAGTCTTAAAAACTACAAAGGTGCTTTTAAGATGAAATTTAAAAGTAAGTTTACTATAGTACAGGAAGTTTTTTAAAATCCCATATACAAGGACTTTTCAAAGAGTCCAAGAGAAATATGTGCTATGAAAATGTTATACATATATATATATCACTTCTCAGCCTTTTGTCTAAGATCAAGTGAAAATGTTGTATATCAATTCAGTATTTTTGCACCAAAATTAACTTCCTTTTTCAGTTTTCCGCTAACTTTCTGAACTAACCAAGTACTATAGTTATTATACATTCTACAAACTATACGCAATATTCTGAATATTCTGGTTGCATATATGAGCTATTTTCCTTCCTTAATTTACTTTTTTAATTTTTTAAAAAGATTTATTTATAAGTCAGATTTATAGAGAGAAGGAGAGACAGGGAGAAAGATCTTCCACCCTCTAATTCATTCCCCAAGTGGCTACAACAGCTGGAACGGCACCGATCCAAAGCCAAGAGCCAAGAGATTCTTCCAGGTCTCCCATGCAGGTGCAGGGTCCCAAGGCTTTGGTTCATCCTCTACTGCTTTCCCAGGCCACAAGCAGGGAGCTGGAAGGAAAAGGGAACAGCCAGGATATGAACCGGTGCCCACATGGGATCCCCAGGAAGGCAAGGAGAGGACTTTAGCCCTGGGCCATCACATTAGGCCCCTTCCTTAACAGTTTCCTAAGTTGAAGTTCCTAAGACAAAAGGGTCAACTCCCTGAAAAGATCCACATCTATCACAGGAACAATCACCTTCTTGCTGCAAGTGAAAAGTATGTTTCTTTCAGAAATGTCTTCTCCATGTCAGCACGCCACTGCCTACCTGGCTTTTATTTGGCTTTTCCTAGCAGCAGCTTCACTGGCAGTCATCGGTTCAGGAAGAACTGAAGGAATCAAAGAATTCTTGGGAGAAAAAAAACACCTTTATTTTAGTTTCTATTTGAATTACATGAAGTTTTTTTTTTAAGAAAAAGTTACTACAAAAGCACTATTTTCACAGTAGAATCCTACAAACTGTTGACTTCTATCTGCCCATCTAATCTGCAAGCAACACAGCATTATCACATAAACACCACTTTTTTATTCCTGTTCTACAGAAACATTTGGAAACTAAGCATAACATCACTGAATACATTTTACAAAAGGGTAAATCTTGGGAAAAAAAAGTACATCACACATGTAAATCTGACTCATTGTACTCTGGCAAAAGAAGCAAACACGAAGCCTCAAGGGCGTTTCTAGCTACCGCAGATGGAAGGCCTTCCTCATGGGTGTACGTCCAAAGCTGGTTCATGACAGCTACTCTCAACATTGACTGAATAAAAAAAGGAACAACCAAGGTCAAATGTCAAATAAAGCTAACGTTACATTCATTATTAGAATGTTAGAAGACAAAGAAAATATGTGATTGATAAGGTAAAGACTGAAGGAAAAAAATAAAATGTCCCACACATTCCTCCTCTTTTTCTTAGTGGGATGGATTATAAATTCTACTTAAAGCAAATTCCATAATAATTACACAGAATGATCTTCACAACATTGAGAACGGCTTTAAAAAAATCAATCATCATTTGTTAGTGTTTCACTGTGATTAAAATCAGCAGCATCTTGGAACACTGGGCTCAGGTGTCATGGTCAAGTTCACTGCAGCAGTGCGCACAGCTCCGAGCCTCTGCTGGTCAGCTACCACCGACCAAGTACAAGGCACCGGCCCAGGGCTGAGCCACACACAGGTTAACGCTGACTTCCATCATTACTATCCTCACTTTACAGAAAAAAGACACGCACAGTAAGTAACTGCCCAAAAGATTTAAAATCAGTCACTCAGAGTTAAACCCCTTGGCTCTCCATTTAAAATAAAGCATGCCTCACACCAAAGGTTCCCGAACAGTCTCTGTTAACCAAGCACTCAGTGTCCAGGTAATCTCTAATCCTGTACCACAAATAAACTTAACAGTCCTGCTTACTAAATGCTTAGGCTCAGATAACTTAATAAATGTAATTTGTGCTTTGTCAGGCAGATGTCACTGTGGTTCCTTGAAAAATGAAAACAGCATACAGGGATTCCTGAGTCCATCACGTCTTGCTAGGGTGCCTCAATGCACACACTGCAGAAAATACGGTGTATACCAAAAATATAAACATAAACATACTGTCAGACCATCTGCCACAAAACAGCTAATTCTCAAAGTACATAAATTGATCATGATAAAATGGAACTGAAATTCACATGATACTTGGAAAATCACTTACATTGATGTTGGAGACAGGACACTCCTTTTTGGCAAATTTAAATGCAAAATGAGACACCTGAAATATATCAGGTCTACGCTCTGGATCTGGCTCAAGCATGAACCCTACAAGAACAGATCAAAAACAAGGAACATGTTAAGGGACAAAACAAACTTTTTCTATTTCATTCTAAGAGCATCAATAATTCCAAGTAAACTTGTTAATGTTATGGAAAACACAGAAACTGTCATTTCATAATTGAACTTTAAAGATTAACCCAAATTAAATATAGCTCTGTATTAAAAGTAACTATTCTCTTATGAAACTGAGTTTAGTGACTAGGAAATTATTCAAGAAATTTTCAAGGTAGCTGTTGGCAAGGAAGGAATTCAAAATACTCTATTATCTAAAATGCATTTATTAATTTTAAATTACCTGAATCAGTCAGAAAAAGCTAACCTGTACACACTGTAATCTATTTAACAAAGTTGTACAAGACTGGTGCTACAGTTTTCCATGTTGATGCCCCCGACACCCATTCCAGGCCTGCACTTTAACCTGTTGTTCACATCATGTCCAAAAATATGCACAGAAGTCTTGTATTATGAACACTTCCACACCAGTTTTATGGCATTGCTTCAAATGCCACTTACCTATTTCTTCTGGGATTTCTAGTTCAAAATTTCTCAAGAAGGTTGAGTTTTACACTCAATTTTACAACAAACAAATTCTTAAGACAGCTGTATGGCTACCTCTGCTTAACTAATACTGAATTCTAACATTTAAAATATTTTTTAAAAATCAGAATAAAATGTAATTAAAGTTTAAATTAAAAGGTTTTAAAAGTAAAATGTATAATTTTGGATGATCTTAAAGTTTTTCAATAAAATAAGACATACATAAATCTAAGACTAAAAGTGGATCACATAAAATATAAATCAAAATAAATTTGTTTTTTATATAATATTTTGAATATGCAACATTTTCTACAGCATATAAGCTTATTTTTGCTAAAAACACAGTGGTAGGGCAAATGATACTGAGTTCAAAAAACTTGGGCATTTACTTTTTTGTATTTTTCATTGTTATTATTTTCCATGATACAATGCTGTAGGTATAGGAATTCTCCCTTCCACCTCCTCTTCCTACCTCCCATTCCCTGCCACCATGTTCCCCCAAATTATTACAATTATTACAAATACCAGCAACAGGCCTAAGCCCAACATTCTGCTATTTACATAGCATCACAGGTATCGGCAACAGTGAAACATCTAAAACTTGGAAATTTATTAAAGAGATTCTGATCTCCATTTCAGCAGTTTTCCAAATACTCTTGATATAACTTGATTTAATGCATTTAAAATATAAATATATTACCTAAAATTAATTTTTACCATTTCATCCATACAGTTAAACTGAAATAACTAAAAGCATCATAATTCTCATATTAACCACTTTGTATTCAACTACAAGACAGAAAAGATTTCATAGACGTACACGGTCTATTTATTTTATCACTCAAAATGAATCGTATTTTAATTTGATGCACATGATTACCGAATGCCTTAAAAGGATGAACATTACAGAAAATTCATGATTTTAAATAAAATACAGTCATACTTTTAATAAAGGGATTCACAATTTTTAAAACGAAACCAATCAAAGTCACTTATGTTTCTATGTTTCTATTCAAGAATTTATTTGGTTCTCAAAACCCAATTTTCAGAGTACTATAAATAGTCTTACTTAAGGGGCTTGAAATTATAAATAAGAAACAAAACAAAAATAAAATAAAATAAAATATAGATAAAACAAAAAATGTTTTTAAATGAATAGGGAATTAGGACTAATGAAAAGGTAATGTGGGTTAAGGGGACAAGATAAGAGGGTCAGTAAAGAAACTTGTATGATTTGTTCCTAAATCAAAGTCCAAATTTGAGCACTCTGCTTTCTAGCTGTCGAAATAAATAGGACAACATGATACATTACATGATTCACTGTGTCCCAAACAGAAAAGAAAACTAGGTGCTGAAGAAAACCCAACTCATGAGAGCAAAAGAGAGAGCCCATTCCTTCTGGAGCCTTTCTAAAGACGGCTCACACAGAGCGAGACATCCATCAAGAACTGCATTGTGACAGGGTCCTGTCTCACACTCCTCACCACGTGCACTTGCGGAGGAATACCTATGAGTACTTCAAGAATACAAGTTCCACAGGTGAAAAAAAAAAACATATATATATATATATACACACTTCCCTTAGTGGCCTGGCTTAATCCAAGCAAAACTTTAAGAACAGAATACAAATACCTTACAGGCAAATCTTTGTTCAAACACAGATTCGAGGAACACATAGATTTGAGATTCTGCGTTCACAACTTCCAATGAGTAATTAGCCAGGTCTGAGGTAGAATTAAAGTTATAAGCAAATAAAAGAGCCTGACTGATGTACACATTTTCAGAGCACAGTTGTTGGAAACAATTTATCTAATTGTACTGAATCCAACTTACGTAATGTAAAACCATGGATCCGTGAGCCACAGGCGTGGTGCTAGACAGCAGATCATGGTACACATAGAGGATATGGCAACTCATTGGGGCCTGCAAAGGACATCTGGTACCATAACAGAGGACAAAGAACAGAACATATGGACAACTACCCCAGCCAAATGACAACAGCAAGTATCAGGGTAAATGGAGACTATAAGGTCGACTATGAAGCCAACGGACACTGGGCCAGCTACAGATTGGTGAGACTGACAGTATTTTGGAACTGTTGCATCCACCTGGGCAGAACTTTTGGGGCAAGTACCACGCTGTGACCCTGGCTTGATATCAAGTGGCCTTTCCCCATGCTTGGGTACTGGGATGGTTGGGAGGCTGGGCATGGCCTATCCTCCTATCTCTCCCTTCCCTCAAGAAATGCGAAGAAGAAATAGAAAGTTTGGAAGCAATGATCACACCCTCTTCTACATAACCCTTCCCACCTTGATTGACTATGTAAACATCATCTAAAATTTTATACATATAAATGTGTGTGTGTGTGTGTGTGTGTGTGTGTGTGTGTGTGTGTGTGTGTAAAACCAATGTACCAGGACACAATAGCAACTTCAGGGACTAAATAGGTTAGAAAAATATTAGAGTGCATTAAATATGGGACACATAAGCAGTATTTCACAAACTTTTTCAGTCTCTATCATGCACATTGTGTGTGTATGTAGTACTTTGTATATAATAATATATATTATATCAACTTTGTTTTATATATTAGCAATAGCAGCGCATAACTAAATGTATCATTTAAACTGGCTTACAATCCAAAAAAAGTCTAAGGGGGCAGGCAGTGGCCCACTTGTTAAAGACACTGATCAGGGCCCGGCGCGGTGGCGCAAGTGGTTAAGGTCCTCACCTTGCACGCCCGGGATCCCATATGGGCGCCGGTTCTAATCCCGGCAGCCCCGCTTCCCTTCCAGCTCCCTGCCTGTGGCCCGGGAAAGCAGCAGAGGACAGCCCAAAAGCTTTGGGACCCTGCACCCGCGTGGGAGACCCGGAAGAGGCTCCTGGCTTCGGATCGGCATAGCATCGGCCGTTGCGCTCACTCTCATCGGACGGAAGACCTTCCTCTCTGTCTCTCCTCTCTGTATATCCGCCTTTCCAATGAGAAAATAATAAAAATAAATCTTTAAAAAAAAAAAAAGACACTGATCAAGGGTTGGTATTGTGATAACACAGGTAAGGCCAACACCGGTGATGCCAGCAGCCTATGCAGGTGCCAATTCATCTTCTGACTGCTCCAACTCTAATCCAGATCCCTGTAAATAGCCTGGAAAACACAGCAGAGGATAGCCCAAGTATTCTGTCTCCTGCTACCCACACGGCAGACCTGTAAGAAGCTCCTGGCTCCTGGCTTTGGCCAGGTCCAGTGCTGTTCATTGCAAACATCTGGGGAATGATCCAGCAGATGGAAGACCTGTTTCTCTCTCATTCTCTCTCTCTCCTGATTCCTTTCTCCTACTTCTTTTTATTTTTAAAAAGGCAGTGGTCAGGACACCTGCACTCATATCAAAAGTGCCCAGGTTCTCGTCTCGCTCTGTTCCTAATTCCTGAATGCTTTAGGCCACCCTGGGATGCAGCAACAATGACTCTGGTACTTGAGTTACTACCACGCAGGTGGGAGACCTGCACTAAGTACCTGTCTCCCTCCCAGCTTTGACCTGGCTTGTCCCAGCCACTACAGGTTATCTGCAAAGTAACGAGAGGATGGGAGTGCACTCTTGGCTGCTATCTTACCTTCTCTCAAAATATCTTTTTAATTAAGAAAAAAAAATTGAGGCCAATGTTGTGACACAGCAGGTTAAAGCCACTGCTACAACATCTGGTGATGCCAGAATCCCATATAGGTGCAGGTTGGAGTCCCAGCTGGTCAACTTCCCAGCCAGGTGATGGAAGCTTCACACTCCTGGCTTCAGTCTAGTCCTGTGCCAGCATTGTAGCCATCAAGGGTAAACTAGTAGACGGAACATCCTGCACTCTATCTCTTCATATCTATTTCTCTCTCACACTTTCCTTTCTGTAACTACTTCAAAATAAGTAAATCTTAAATAAACAGTAAAGTTTGAAGCCACTGTGCTAGCAGTACAATACCAGTAGACTCAGTCTCATCTCTGTAACTCAGTTCTTCCCTATAGCAAAAACGAAGATTTATCAAATTTGATTGTTGGACTAGAAAAGACTGGGCCAGTACTGTGTTGCTGCAAGTAAAGCTGCCACTGTGGCACCAGCATCCCACATGGACCGCGGTCCAAGCCCTGGCTGCTCCACTTCTGATCCTGCTCCCTTCTAATGTGCCTCGGAAAGCAGTAGAAAATAATCCAAGTGCTCGAGGAATGTCCATACTCCTGCTTTCAGACTGTCCATGGCCTGAACTATTATGCTCATTTGGGGAGTGAACCAGTGGCAAGAGATTCCTCTCTCTTTCTCTCTCTCTCTCTCTCTCTCTCTACTTCCTCTTTCTTTGAATCTCTTTCAAAAAAAATTTACTTTTTTTATTAAAAAAAAAAAAGATTTCAGTGCCTACTTTCATCAATCGTTGATGCTGTTTCTTTCTGAACAAGCTGATCACCTAA